AGTGCTCGTCTAGGACATGTCCTACGAAATAGCTACAGTGCAACTTCTCATGAACCTCAGCACAATTTAGCACCTGTCAGGAAGTGACAACGAGACTGTGGGCTTTTTAAAGATCTCAAATTGTCAGTGAATGTTTTGCAGGCTCCGATTGTTGAAAGGCTTGAAACTCATTATCTCCTTTAAAAGGCTGACAAATATTGGACATGTGATGAAGGAAGAGGCCTTGTTTTACACATTATGTCAATTTTTAGCTTTTCTTTTAGAGCCCCTTATGCTTTTAATGGCTGCAAAAGCAAAACAGCTTCATAGCTGCTCAAACTTGCAGAGAAGTTATTTATTAGGTGCTATTTCAGACTCTGTGCTTGGACAGGCTGGGCTGTAATATTAACCTTCAAATTAGTTAGTAGTGCTGGTGAAGGATGTTTTCCAACATCTGTTTTTAGCACTGTTAGAATGGAGCTTGGAGTATGGATTTTTTAAGGACTTTTTGAACGGGGCCACACTAGAGATGAACTGCAGTGATTCTGCACATGAATCAGAAAACATGTTGTATTTGCCCATACCACATGCAAGAGCAGACAGATGCAGCTGAGCCTGCTGCTGAAATAGCAGTATGTTGCAGTAGACATCTTGTCAGAAGTGTTGTGAAGAGAACTTTAAAGGACAATATCCTAAAGGCAGAGACACCCACTCATTGCATATTAAGAACGCTGATTTGAAGACACGTCAGATTTGGAGGTCAGTCAGAGCTGCTGTGTTATATACACCATGTCAAGACCTTGTCTACAACTGGCTGAATGTTAAAATGGCAAATCCATCCTGATGCAGATACCATTATAGAGACATAAACATGTTTATACATAAACATGTTTATACATGTTTATACATGTTTATACATGTTTTATACATGTCTATACAGAAAGGCTGAGAGAGTTGGGGTTATTCAGCCTGGAGAAGAGGCTTCGGGGAAACCTTATTGTGTACTTAAAGGGGGCTTATAAGAAAGACGGGGATAAACTTTTTAGCAGGGCCTGTTGCAACAGGACAGGGGGGAATGGTTTGAAACTAAAAGAGAGTAGATTTAGACTAGATATAAGGAAGAAATTTTTTACAATGAGGGTGGTGAAACACTGGAACAGGTTGCCCAGAGAGGTGGTAGATGCCCCATCCCTGGAAACGTTCAAGGCCAGGTTGGACGGGGCTCTGAGCAACCTGATCCAGTTGAAGATGTCCCTGCTCATTGCAGGGGGTTTGGACTAGATGACCTTTAAAGGTCCCTTCCAATCCAAACTATTCTCTGATTCTCTGATTCTATGATACACTGTTTCTGGGGAGTAATGGTTTAAGTGTCCTGTACTAGGATGAAAGCCGCCGTACCAAGGATGTTACCAATGTAAAGGTGTGACTAGACTTTCTCCTTTTTCTGTTTAGCTGGAATAGTTGGTGGTTTAAAAGACAGAGCAATTATCACTGTCCATCATCTGGAGGTTACTGCTCTCACTGCTTACCCAGCAGAAGAAATATTTTTTTATGCTCTTGCATGTATGGTAGACTAAAATGACTGAGCTCACTCCAGCTTCCAGTGGAGGAGGTTTGAACTAACACAGATGAAGCTGCCTGAGAATACTAGGATGTGCTTAGGCAAAGCTGTGTATTTCATGTTACCTTTATGTTGCTGTGGTATCCCATACCCCTCCATGTATTCACAAACACTTTCAACAAACAATAATAAGCAATATGTACCCCAGTGTTATGAGACTTGCACTGCAAATGCAGTAGTACAGTGACATCACAAGTGTTTGTACAAGCATATCAAGAAATTAATATGTATATCCAATGCCTTGAGAAGACACAAGTATATTTTAATGTTGGCAGTATATTGTTTCTTGTTTCTTCTCACAGTGAGAGCTCTGTGAAGCATTGGAGCAGGCTACTGATAGTAATATAGATGACACCCCACAGGAGGAGGTTCTCCCAGCTTTGAACTGGCAAACTTTTCTGGCTGTTTTCAGATGCCACTTCAATGGTCACCAGATACAATCTAGTTGATATTTTTCCCATTTTTGCACATTTCATGAGATAATTCACTGGGGTTAGAAAGTGACTGTTATATGCTACTAAAGTGTTTCTGAGTCTGTTGATCTTCCTTGGGAGTTTAACAGCCGTAATGTACCTCAGCACATTACTTGCCTATAGCTTTTATCCCCATGTAAAAGTTGCTGAAAATAAGTAGATCTAGAAGAATGCTCTATCAGTTATGACATAAACTCCATGAAGGACACTTTCTTCTACCTTTTCATCCCTGAAACAGTCGTTTCTGATGGAAATCATAACATCAGCCTGAAAGAGCAGGCATGGTAGTGGAAGGCATGCTTGTATCATACCAGCACTTCTACATGTTAGTCTCCCTTTTCTCTTCCCCAGGCCTTCACCGTACCCTGAGTCTTTCCATTAAGAGACCTTAGGTGTGTTTCTGCAGGGACACTTGCAAGCCTGACAGCTGCCACTGTGGAGCTTGAAGCAATGACTTCCAGAGCAAATGTATGAATCTTAGCAGCTGGTGGAAAAAGACACAGAATTTCCAGTTGAAAGCTATCATAAATGCATATCCTCTGTGTATTGGACACAGATGTGTTGTATAACACATTTTCTGACCGGTGGGTTACACAAACAAAGTGTGTGACAAGTGACTGAAATGTGAAACATGTACTCTGGTGATTCACTCCATAATTCACAGATTAGCGTACTTTAAAGTACAATATCCCTTCTTAGAGAGTCTCATTGTGTGAGCAATATTAAACAGTACTGTCTTGCCTGTCACAGTTATGTACCTCGGCTCCTTTGAGGTCTTTATTACAGGCTTTGAGCAGCTACCTAGCTCAAGATAATGTTCGCTGCCTGAAAATAGGACCTGGGACAAAGCTTCATTGGATTACTCTCTATTACTGCCCTCCAGAAATGTTGAAACTTCAAAGAGCCTGTAAGGTCAATGATAAAACTATGGAAAGCACTGTCAAAAATAGAAGCAAATACAACAAAACATTAGGGAAGTTTATTTCAGAACTAAAAAAAAGCACTGATGGGTGTATTTGGAAAGAGGACTTAGCAACTGCAACATGCAGGGCATCACCTTTTGCCTACCTTGCCAGCTAGTGGTATGCATGGCTATGAAGGAGAAGCTCAGGCTCCCAGCTTAGCCTGCAGGACAGGTAGGTCCCTCAGAAGGAGAGCAACAGAAATCAGCTTGCTGTGTAGTCAGGCCTCTAAGCTGATCTTACTGGCTTGCAAATGTAAATAACAGGCATGGTTTAACCTCTGAATATCTCTGGACCCAAAGTCAACGCTGGAGTATTGAAAACTTATCTCTGCACAGGAACTCCTCTCCTGAATTTGAGCTGTGATTGCACCCTGATTCAGTCTGCCTGACTTCTTCTAAACTTTTGGTGTATGTCTGCCTGAATTAGCCCTAGGGGGAGGTGAACCCTCTGGTGTGCTTAAGCTAGAGAGAAGGTGGTGTCTTTAAAGATCTGATGAGCTCTCTGCCTAATATCATTGCCTGCTTCTGATTATCTCTAGAGCCTGAATGCCTCCAAAGGCATCAAATCTTCTTCAAGGGGAATTCTGAAGAGCTTTCTCCAACAAGGGAGACCCAGTGTCCTGGATCACATGCCTAACATATTAAAACAGAAAAAAATGGTTCCCAATTTCAGCTTCATTTTAAAATCTAATCACAGAAAGAAGGAGGGTGCAAAAGCTCACTAAACATGTTAGTGGAAATCACAAGTTCCTCTCCCTCCCTGACCAATGTCCCAGGGAAGGCTTTATCCCATAGGAAATTTAATATTATCTGTTGGGCAGAGTTGGTGACTCGTTTACTATTCTTTGTCATGAATATACTGAGAGAGGATCAGGAGAGAGAAGGAGCTTGGATGCACTAGGAAGAAAATAAAAATCAGAGAATTATGAATTTATGACAGCTGCCTGTTTTTTCAAGTCTTAATTTAAATGAGAAAGCTTAACACTGTGCATCAAGTACTCCCTTAAAAATATTCAAAGATCAGAAGCTATATCTATGGAGAACTTCCATGACATCCAAGCTATTCAGTTATTCCAAGCATCTTAAAAACTAGGCTTTTGAATGCTGCTCCAGGACTGTGCTAGGGTGTGAAATTTGCTATTTTGGGGGTTGTGTTTTCTTCTAGACTGGTGAATATGATAAACAATGGGTCAGACTCACCAAGATAAAGTTCTGTAAACTTTTATTTCCAGTTGATTTAAACTCATGAACTCTTTAACAGATCTGGCAAAATGCAATTTTTCCTTACATTGTGGTGATAAATTTGGGTGAAAATACCTTGTAGTATTCTTCTAAAACAAGAACAAAAAAATTATTTACATGGTGGTTTCATGATGGTGGTTTCATAATGAAGAGGAAAGAAAAGAAAATGAGAATAGAGAAAATGCTAGGAGGGAAGTTCTTTGCGGAAGAATAGCCATTAATATAAAACAGATTTTAGAGTGTAGCTGTCCCAAAATCTTTTGGATGACACATAAATCAGATGCTAATATTAAGACTTCCAACTTGCAAAGACTTGTACATATGTTTAAAATTACACATTTGAATAAACGCATTGATTGTATTTGGTTGCATGTAAGCTTTTGCAGGAATAGATGCAGGCTACTTAAAAACAACATGTAGAGAGATAAAGAGAGAAAAGATATAAAACTCTGTTTGGCTCTCAAACAGCAATCATCTTATCTGCCAAAACCACATGTAATAGACCGTTAGTTCTCTGTTCCACATCCTGTGTTTGAAGAGTCTTACCTTAAAAAGATGTCAGGACTAACGCCGTTATAAGGCATTTCCTCCGAGAAACACATCCATTTGTGGAGAAATGTGTATTTTATCTATGGTAACTAATATATATAGCCTGCTATTTATGAATAATTATAAATAATAATCTGTGCTGCGGTTGCATTTTTGTGTTGTTATCTTCCAGATGGGAGTTGCTGTAGTGGATTCATCGGTTGCAGGACTGGGTGGTTGTCCCTATGCAAAAGGTGCTACTGGAAATGTAGCCACAGAGGACGTGATATACATGCTTAATGGTCTGGGGGTCAATACAGTAAGATATTTTTACTTTTTACTTGAGACTTTACGGAAAGCAAAAATATTTTTCTAGAAAACATACAATACGTACTTGACAATTACTTCTGCTGTACAATAAAATATTGGGAGCAAATAGTAGTTTTTGCAAACTCAGTGCTTTAACATGACTTGACGCATAACATGAATGATGTTGTCTTCACTAGCAGTTTAGAGTAGAACTGGTTTGCGCATTTGACAGGAATTTGAATAACCCCCCTCTCCCTCCCTGGAGCTATGAGGAGCTCAGTAGCAACTGCTTTGAGTCTTTACTCTGCCTCAGTAACACAAAAAATCTCTACTGTAGACATTGCTCCAGGAGGCTGATCTGCTCTACAGTGGAAAGACTGAGCAGACCTCAGCTTTTTTCACAGAGCTTTAGATTTGGTTCATAGTGCTTATTAATTTGTTGTCAATTTTTCTGGCTTCAAAGTAGAAAAAAATTATGGTATTTGGAGCCCAAGCACAGAACATTGCTATTTCTCAGGTATCCACTTAATATATTTCAAAATTGTACAAAATCTGTTTCTGGCTAGCAGGCTTTACAGTCATCTTCATTTCCTGCCCTGTTCTTGGCGGAGAGGCCAAAGCAGCTTAATCTGCACTGAGCTGCACTTTAATGAACCTTATCAGTGAGCATCCACACTTGAAGAGCACACATTTAGTATCCCTGCCTTGGTTGACATGTTAATTATTCTGTATTCCTGGGAACCAAGTAACGCTGCCTTCTTCAAAGAATGTGCTCTTTCATCTTCCTGTTGGTCATGATTGTTCTGGAAATGTGGCATAGTGAGTTTGTTGTAACTCAAGCAATACAATGATTTTTCCTTTAACTTAGACATAGACTTTGAGAGTCAAGCTTGAAGGAAAACACATAAAGAGCTGCCAAAACTGCAACATGTGTGGTTTGTATTTAAACTGCTGCAGGAAGAAATTGAAAAGCCTGATGTCTGAAATCCAACGATCTGAGTTATTGGGGAGCTTATTACTTGTCTGCCAGTTGCAGTTCAGTGTGGCACACATGCCAACGGAGTTCCTTGATGTAAAAGGATCATGGAACTTGTTTCTGAATTGTACGTCCCCTGAGCACTGTTACATCATATTCAGTACCTTACAGAGTTCACTGTAATGTTTATCTGCTTTCATGTGCTTCTTAGGGAGTTCTGGGTAGATGTCAGATACCTGTTTAGAAAAGGTTTAATCACAAGTATCCATTGTACAAGTGGACTCTGTTTTGAACTGTTCATATATGCTTTGGGGTAGCTTTTTTCATGAAGAAGGTGTTTATTCTTTTGAAACAACACAGTTCTTTGGAATAAGAAGGAGAAATCATACATTTCACTTTACATTGCTGTGCACCTTAGACTTAGGCTTTCAGTATAGTCTTTCCTTGGGCAAAATACCCATTGACTTTTCCAACTGACTAGTAGCAAAAGGAATCAATTAAATGAAAATAGCCTGATTAAATGAAATATACCTTGTTCCAGGCTTCTTGATAAGATTTATTAATCTGTTAATGATCTGGTGTCCAAGCAGGAATCTAGCTTGTCCTAAAAGTTGATACCAAATCCCATGAAGATAGGAATCTCACCATCAAACATTTAGTTCTACCTTTTTAAAAAAAATTTAGATTATGCAATAGCAAAACACAAGGCTTTGCTCCTTGACCCTTTTCTGGCCCATTAAGAAGAGAGTGGTTTACTTGATGAGAGACATGGAGCCTCAAAATTGTTACCTTAATATATGAGCTTTTGTCTTTACAGTGCTGATTGGTTTTGGTACCCTGGCCAATTCTGTCAAATCATTATTGCAAAAATCTATTAATATGTCCCTTTTTGTATCGTGGCACAAAATGAAATTATAATTACTAATGCTGTCCATTTGCAAGGAGCGCTTTTTCATGTTCCTCTCAGCTATGCACTAAAGCTTTCATTTTGTTGACTGAAGTCACTTAAAGTGTCAACCAAAGGATGGCCGGTATTTAAGTGTACATTATTGAGTTCAGATTGACTAGATACATCAAAAAAATAATTGATGCTTGTTCTATACTGTTCTTCAGAACACATAACCAAGAAGTGACACGTGAAATGAATCTCTAGCAGACTAAATGTGAAATCATTTTCTAGCAGAGCCTATCTCCAAAGAGATTTATTGGTTGTACCATGCTAATGGATAGATAATTATGTCATAGATCATTAATGCTTATGAAACTTTGTGTAGGGAGAAATATACTTTCTATAAAAACAGTTTCTATATGGTTCCTATGTAATTACAGTAATAGTACTTGTGCTTATGATGTCTCCAAAGTGCTTGGCAAACAGTAAGCCTTTCTGAGAAGCAGCTAAGTACTGTTAGCCTCACATTACTGACACTGAAACCAAAGTTCAGAGAAATAATAGGCTTGGTATTTATGAATGCTGAATGAGAACTGATTAATTGAAGTCAATGGGAGTTAAAGGATTTTGCCTTCTGGCAGAAGCTTTTCTGACTTCAGGCATTTATCCAAGTTCATAGATACTATTGGAGGTACTTGTCTTTGTGTTTCATGGTTTCATTCCTTGGTGTCAAGGAATAATTCTGGATATATGGAGTGGTTACCACATCTTAAGTACATTTCTGAATATCTATCTGAAGACATATTATTTTGACTCAACAACCTTACAAACACCTGTCACTACTCTTTTTCCATCCCCATCTATGAGTCATGCTTGTCAATGCTGGGTTTTGTGCCCTCATGGTAATCCTCTCTGGTTCATGACACTTACATAAGAAAGAAAATGTAAAAGGCAGAGATGCTTGTATTCCATTTAATGAATGTGAACTGTGAACATATGTTTCTTATCAACACATATCACGTTATGCAGTGTTACAGTGCTGCAAATGTGAATTTTATATAGTTTGGGGCTTTTATTTTGCCATCTTCCATAATATAACTACCAAGTATGTCTTTGGTGGTATGTTTCTCATTTCTTCCTAGTAAAAAAGCACAGATGCTCTAAGAATTTTTTAGATTTCGTTATGTGCATAGCACTCTACAAACTAAACCTAAGTAATGACCAATAAAGGATAAACAGAATGAGCTGAAATCACCCTTGTTATAACTGTATTAAAATGAGACAGTTATAAAAGGGTGTCTGAACAATATGTTTTACATGGTGCTATATACTAGAGCTGATTGGAAACATTGAAGCTTTTTTTTTTCAAATTAAAAATCTTTTTGATTACATTTCCGCGAAGTAATTTCTATTCTCATTAACATTTTTAGCCAATTCCAAGAATGAAAAAGGCAAAGTTTACTGTAAAACATGGAAATAAGTGCTAGATCCAATTAAAGGATTAAGCATCTAAATCAGGTCTTGGTTTGAACTTTAGTGCATAAATCCATAAGTGTTATGAAAGTGTATTTCTGGTGCAATACATCTTGTACTCTTTAATGTTGAGTGACACACTTCTCTCAGTTTTATGTGACTGCTCAGTGTATTGGTAGTTCAAAGTTCCCTTTCGCATCCCTTGTACAGGAACTTTACTGGCTTCTAAATTCCAATCTTTGGAGCAAGTACTTACATCACTTATACGATCTAACTCTAAAACCTTTACTATACATGAGTAATCCAGGAGACTAATAATGCAGTATTTTTTCCTCTTTGATCAGTGATCTGATTCCATTTTAGCAATCAAGCAGCACTGATACGTATCTTACGTTAGTTAAAAAACAGTTGATATTGCTCAAGGAACATTTTTTTAGCACGGGCAGATCAAGCAGCTGCAATTTTTTGCTGTAAATGTAAATTTACAAATGTAAATTGTAATTTTGCATTGAATGGAACTTCTTCAAGAAGGAGATTATATTTATTCAAGAGAATGCAGGATCCCGTTTCTCACTGAACTCATTTCTCAATACGTTTCCTCCATTTTCCTGAGCTGCAAATGGTGTACTTATAAGCATGAAGTTTCTTAGCATTGGGTGATAAATAAGTACAGCACATATGTAGACACTATACTTTTCTTCCAACTTCTTCAAGTTGTTATACCAGTTCTTTATCCAAGATTGTTTTGAGTTTGAAAATTACTAGAGTATTTGGTCCACTGCTATTAGGATAAGAAATCACTCTCAAAGTGGTAGAACTGTCCAAACATCTGGAAGCTGTGACTATTGTGCATGTCACTGTAACTCTACTGATCTCCATTACTGACCTATGACATGAATCAGGCACTTTGCAAAAATTAGACCCTGAAGCAAAAAAACTTGGAGTTTGAGCATTTGCAACATGTGCATTTATTATTTTTAACATTTTTCACCTCTTTTTTAGGGAGTAAATCTTTATACAGTGATGGAAGCTGGAAACTTCATCTGTACAGCTTTGAACAAGAAAACAAACTCAAAGGTTGCACAAGCTTCCTTCAATACTGGACCTATCAATTAAATGGATTTTTTTTGCAGCTTAATTACATTTGTCATCTACCTTGACCAAGGGCATTTGTATCAAGAAAACAAATATAAGAGAACCATTTCAGCAAAGAACCAAAATAGAACCCATATGTAACTTTTTATTATGGGAAGAGTTACTGTACTGTATTGTCTTGTCAAGAATTGTCTGATTTGTAAGCAAGAAATAAATGACTGTAGTACAGAACCCTGTGCTTGGTACTTCTACAGGTGAGAAAAATGTGTAAACACCAGGACATTTTACCATGTTTTAAATTGAATTTTAGTTCTTTTCAGGAAAACTGAATAGAAGCAGCAAATAGAATCATAGAATCACAGAATCACAAAATCATAGAATTCAAGAATTGTCTGATTTGTAAGCAAGAAATAAATGACTGTAGTACAGAACCCTGTGCTTGGTACTTCTACAGGTGAGAAAAATGTGTAAACACCAGGACATTTTACCATGTTTTAAATTGAATTTTAGTTCTTTTCAGGAAAACTGAATAGAAGCAGCAAATAGAATCATAGAATCACAGAATCACAAAATCATAGAATGGTTTGAGCTGGAAGGGACCTTAAAGATCATCTAGTTCAAACCCCCCTGCCATGGGCAGGGACACCTTCCACTAGACCAGGTTGCTCAAAGCACCATCCAACCTGGCCTTCAACACTTCCAGGGATGGAGCATCTATGGCTTCTCTGGGCAACCTGTTCCCAC